GAGGGCCTGGACAAATCTTGCTAACCTATTAAAAATTATTAATGTCAACCATTTTCTTACATGAATGCAATTGAAATTGAACGATAAAAATATTATTTGTACAGTTCTATCGTTCACGCTTAGGTATAAGGATAGGTATACATATGTAAGGCATATCTATCTAAATAAATTATAATAAATATTAGCGGACACACCTAGCCTGCACAATTACTGATATTATCAACAACTTTATTTACATATAAACAGTAGTGTTAAACGATTTTATTATTGCTGCTCCTATATAAGCGACATAATTGAAATCTAAAAGGTGCGGAAATTAAATTAGTCATCGTAAATGATTTACACTGTTTATTAAGTTTCAAGTCGATTCATGAATATAATCAATTAATGCAACTCAATACACTAATAAAAGCTCTAAGTAACATTCTAAAATAAATTAAAAAAAAGAGATTAAACTTCTAGTTTTCGATTTGTGATCAAAAGTTTTATATTGATACTTATAGGATAACTGTACTATAAACAATACAAATGCATACGTGTACGCTTAACTTGACAATTTCCACTTCTATCGCCGGCGGCAACTATCGGTAACGCACGTCGTGACCAATCGGTACATTCCTGAACTACAAAACAATGAAACAACCGCTTAAGGCTAAAATATGTTTTATAACAACGATGTAGAGCTTAAAACAGATAATAAACTTCAAAGACCGCCATGACAAATCGCAGTACAATTATGTCGGAATTAACCCATCAATCAATTGCAATATAAATTTGAAATACACCTGCATTCATATGGCAATAATAACTGGCAATCAGTAGCGGTCAAAAGTTCATACGGTGAACAAATAATGATTTCTATTTTTAGTGACAGTAACCTGGTGACATACCTAATTGTGCTTCTGGAAGGTTTGCATTAAAATATCTTTCAATTATGGTTTAATCAGGTTAATGTCAGATATAGACAGTGGTTAACGCGCTCGCTTGGGTAACCGAGTGAAGCGGGTTCCAATCTTTAACATGAAAATGAAAACAATGAAAATTTTCAACATGATTACCACTTATCTTACGGTGAAGGAAAACGTCGTGACGAAACCTGCATGTCTTAGAAAATCTAGCAAGTTTTCGAAAGACATGTGAAGTCCGCCAACCCGTACTTGACCAGCGTGGTGGCCTGATCCCCCTCGTATTGAAGGGAGGCCCGTGCCCAGAAGTAGGACGTCAATAAGGGCTGAATACAATGTCAGATAAAAGTTTGTTTAGTTACTAAATTCTTTGTCTTAGTATTGTGCCATTATGATTTGCATAATCTGAACTATAAGCATCCAAGTACGATTATTTACGAACACTTTATTCAAACTGCGGTAGGTAATATTATAACACACAATAAATCACCCCAAAAATTTAAAGCTGTTCTTTTGAAAACATTTGCGTATCCACGATTATAACTTTGCAGAAGATCCAATCTGAGAAATCAAAACAGTCTGAGTAAGTGCATCGCATATGTGGAGATAAGAATAGCTGAAAAAACAAAAGCGCTTTTAAGTCGCTCCATCAAACAAGCACGTCATTGACGATACGGTGAAACGTATAATATAGTAATAATATAAGGTTTGTTTGTTATTATTATCTTGGTCATAATTAATGAAAAGAATGATTCTTAAACATCAAAAATCTAAAGTTAATGACTGTAGTAATTAAATTATTTCTTAATGCAGCACTGTTAGTACCAAAGCTTAAGACAGTCTAATATTTTATTAAACGATGTATGGTGTAGCTTTATAGGTAGGTACGTATTGTACGTACCTTGCAGTAGCCCTCTATGCTACCTATTAGAGCACAAAACTACTAATTTAGTACAAACTGTAAATCTCTATTGAACTAATATGCCATACATCCGGTGTCTAACAACATAATATTATGATGAGAACATATATAAACTCACTGCATAAAATATTCTGATTGTCATAGTTAATGACATTTTACTTCAACCTTTATAAATTGAAATGTGTGGATGAATCATAACTCATCACCTTTAAGCCGAAAGTCATTATTATCATAATAATGTATCTATTAGTATTATAGTTTATTATTTTGTACTAGCAGAACCCGCGGCTTCGCCCACGTCCAAAGTACAAAAAAGCAAACTCTTCTTCCCCTTCCCTTTACAATAATGTATGGAAGTCTGCCCGATTTGTTGACATTTATGATTACTACTCCACTCCCTTGGGTAGTAAGTAGCATGATTATATATGATCTATACGAGTATAGCTTTCCTCAATAAATGGGCTATCTAATACAAAAAAAATTCAAATCGGATAAGTAGTTCCTGAGATTAGCGCGTTCAAACAAACAAACAAACTCTGCCTCTTTATAATATTAGTATAGATTTCAGATGATCAGACTTATAGTTAATATAGTATTTGAAGAAAAATTACAATATTTTAGCACAATTATTAATTATAGTTTATCTTGTATATCACAGTGAAAGTCATTTGCGTATTAGAAAATATTAGATACTTATAGTTGTAGTGCAGTACTCAGCTACATAATGTTGCCGGCTTGAGCAACTGCAATTGGTGTTTATCGATTAGATGCACTAACAGCGAGGGCGTTCCCAACGAAGAAGTCATTATTCATATTCGTATACCAGTACAGTGGAATTAGCCATGTTTTCGTTAATTTAACATTATAATGTTTAGATGCTTCTAACATCGCGGTCTTTTTATTTTTATTTCTAATTAAAAACTCTTCTTGACTTGAATATCCTTAGTCTGAATAAAGTTAACCGAGAAAAGCGATTAGAAAGGTTGTCCGGAAAATTAGAACATACAATAGGATTTTCGTATGAACTCAGAGATTACAAACTAATTTATTGAAATTTCGGCAAAATACTATCTGTCGGGTAAGCTAGTTGAAAATATAAATGATTTGGTTAAAATGCAAGTACCATTTACCCTTAAGCTTATTGGCGATAACGATGCTTATTTATGTATTCGACGTCCGATACATTCGAAATATTTTAAACATTATTTTGTAATGAACAGATGTCTGTTTCTCGACTGAACATATTCGATTGTGCAAGTCGAATGCGCATTTTATAACGACGAAAATATTTTACCGGGTAATAAAATTTTAGGAAGTGTTTCCGCGACTGGGCAGCAGCGCTCTAGAGATGAGACTTAAATATAACGTAATTTCTTTTAACCAACTGCATCACTGTAATTCAGATTGAATTATGATCAACTAGGAAGCATTTAGAATGTCTAACCTACATTCTGTTGCGACCAGTGTGTTAATTGGTCCGAGCACTCCGCGTTGACCGTTGCGACCCCTTTGTAAGCATTTAATATATTAGTTTATTAAAACAATTCATCTTATCAGCAAGATACATGTCTTATCTAATAATTCTTCTAATCTTTTACTTAAAAGTTTTAAATATCACTAATATATAGCACGTAACTTAGTGTAAAGTAAATGGAGTTGATATATTTAAATATTTCAAAAAGATTAGTGAAGGTATATTCAAATTCCCTAGTAAAAAGGGTTTATTTAGAATATTGTGTTTTAGGTATTTTAGAAAACACAGCAATCACTTTTGTCATGAAAATATTAACGACTAGTGAGAAAACGAATGTGGGCACCACGCCAACTAGTGCGACGCTATTTCAACATGGCTGTGCGTCCGGCCGCGCTTCGTTCGCACTTGGGAAAAATAAAATCGGCATTATTATTGACGGCTGACCGACGCTAAAGAAATTCAAGCAATAAGATGTTCTTAAAATATGTACTTTTAATATTTGGATTTTCGTGATATTTTTTACTGTAGATGACATTGATGGTTTGTGTAAAGTATTCAATTTATTGAAATTACTTTTTAAACTTCTCAAAATTGCTATTCACACATAGGTACATACACAGTACACAAACAAATAATAATTATTTCTAGCATATAATTTATCATTATAACTACCTACTGCTTATAATAAAACAATTTAGATATTAATTTTTCCTTTGACGCCAGTTTCAAACTCAAACTTTTAACGTAAGCATGTTTTTTTTAAATATGCCATTCATTTTCACCCCTTTACGTGTTAAAGAAAAAAATCTTTGCCTGGTTTTAGTTTAGTTGTTTAAATTGTCTTACATAATTTCGATTCTGAGCGATGACGAATCAGTCCGGATATGTAACTTTATATAAGTAGTATATTACTGAATTTCTCTTTAGTATTAAAATTTCGTAGTTTACCTGCCATGGTCGAAGTAGTTGGACCGAGACGAAACACGAATGTTTCTCAGGTCTATTGTTCTGTCATTTCCGCATCTCATATTTCTTTCCATAGTAATGTAAGAATCACATTGTCTCTATGGATTAATTTACATATGCGTATATTTTTTGCTAATAAAATATTTATTTGTATTGCCATTTTATTAGCAACTTAAATATAAAATATACCTATACTTATTTTTTTCATAACTGAAACTAATTAAATGATTTAGATGAGCACATGTGACGAATCTTTAAATTAAATCTTTAATACATCATTTGCTGCTAAAAAAAATGTTTTTGGAACGTTCTGAAATTTCAGTAAGTGTATGGATTAACATAATTGTTATGATAATATAATATTACGCTTGGCGCTGTTCCAATTGTTCCATTTCTTAATTTGTAGACAAGAATGATCGTAGCTCACGGTTCACGCGAATCAAACTAAAGCTTTGGATTGAATCGTATGAAATTTACTCGTAGTAGTGTCAAATATTCAACGCTTGGTCGGCGTTTAAGCTCACACTCTGTACTTAGATGTAAATTCTATTTATAATATTAACTTCTAGTGATTAACCCGGTAGACACGCATTAAATTTACGCAAGCCGGTATCAGCATTTGGTGGAATTTTGTAATATTTTTTTTATTTTTGTGTTCTGTTTAGTGTAATAATTCAACTCGTGCTTAAAAAATATTTACATATTTAACTTTGTAATTTTTATTTTATTACAGTTCAATTTTGTTGGACGGATCTTAGGACCGAGAGGTATGACTGCAAAACAGTTAGAACAAGAAACCGGATGCAAAATTATGGTCAGGGGCAAAGGGTCAATGAGAGACAAGAAAAAGGTAAATAAAAACTTCATTTATAACATAAATATAAAATTAGTATAGCATTTAATAATTGTCAATTGAATTTTTCGTTATTTGTTTCATGCAGCGCTTCTTGGACTTCAAATCAGGTTTTTTTTATAGAATACTTTTTCTAAAACGATTCTTAAGAATCATGCGTCAACATATTCTATGAAAAGTTGCAGACACACTTAAATGGATCGCAATATCGTTTCCATTTATAGCAACATCCTATTGAAATAAGCAATAATTTATTTAATAACCATCTTTATCTTTTAGAGAATAATTTACATTTACGATCGTCTTCTAGACACTAGACATTCTTGGCACTGGTGTTCCTTTTTCTAGTCCAATAGCTCCGTTCGTATAAATTGGGATAAAGTGTCTTCTAAGTATTACGTGTCCAATGATTTATCGGTTGGGTATATTCCAGGAGGATGCGAACAGGGGTAAGCCAAACTGGGAGCACCTGGCTGATGACTTGCATGTACTTCTCACAGTGGAAGACACAGAAAACCGAGCGAAGATAAAGCTTGCCAGAGCTGTAGAAGAGGTTAAACGTCTTCTGGTGCCTGTAAGTGTACATAAAATATTTAAGAATCCTAAATTACTCAGGAGATATTATGCATTTATTGTTCCTTGACACTCTTAGTAGGTATGTTTCAGTAAATAACATCATGTAATAAATCTTGTAGCTTGGCTCAGTCACATTTCACTCGACATCTAAGAAGTCTTAGGAAGCGTTTTATTTTAAAAATAACTTTAAATTACGCTAATCTTTGATGTAAAGCTTTCACATTGTCCTAATTTTTTTCTATTATATTTTCTAACATGATTTTTTGATCTAAAGCTTCTACATTATCCTAAAAATTTTCTAATACTTTACCTACCAGCGATTAAACTCTGTTTCGCTGTATATCTATGTATTACCAAAGTTTATTTGTGTACTAAATTTCATCCAAATCCGTCCAACCGTTTCAACGTGAAAAACCCACAAACATACAACATACATACAAATTTTCGCATTTATATTATGTACTTGTAGTAGTCTTGTCTGCATTTCATGAATATTAGAGGAAAGAATACAAGCTATCAACAATCAGGTCAACATGTTTGAAATGAAAATAATTTATTAACACAAATATTTTTCAGACGGATACATCCTATCGTTTAAAACTTAACTGTTATGTTTTAGAACGAAGTATTTTTTTTAAATTGTCGTGTAAACAACTGCAACCGTGAAGTGAATTATTGTTATCCATAGGTTTTCGTTTGTCTAAATAATTAATAAACCGCGAAGTTTTCTAATTTTTTATGAAATATATATAATTATTTAAAACTAGTAGGTTCATATTATTTCAAACATTAATTGAATGGTCATGTTGAAAATATAATCGGAGAAGTTACTAGCATTTATCTGATAACATTTTCACGAACTAAAGAACAGTTACAACGGATTGCTACACAACACTAAAAAACGGATTGCTACAGAACCTTAAAAACGAGGGACGGACGACGAAATGACATAATATGCGAATTCTGTGGCAAAGTTTTTAAATATTGGTCCAATTTGACGAATATTATTTTATAATAATATAATTATTACAAAAAATGTTTTTTTTTATATATGCAGCAAGCTGACGGTGAAGATGAGTTGAAGAAGCGTCAATTAATGGAACTTGCCATTATAAATGGCACGTACCGCGACTCTAGCACGAAAGCCGTCGTGCCCGTCAACGGTCAGTGCCTAATAAGTATGGTCGCATTCATGTTTTGTCACTAACATTTAATTAAGGACATATACAGGTGTGACATGACACGAAAATACAGTCAATATTATATACGGTATAACCGTGTTCTTAAAGCATACAGACCAACAGAAGGATGTCTTATTTACAATAGAGTAGAATAAAGTATGATCATGGCTCTTTGACAAATGATTTATTAATTTCACTTTTTACTCGTCAAGCATCACCTGTGTATTTTATCACTATACTAACTCTATTTACTTGTTCTTCTATTTTTTTGTGTTTATAAATTTTCACTGATGAATAAAATCCAGCGCAATTCGCAAAAATGTATATTGAATAGAATAATAATGAAATACGTACATGACTACTTTAAAATCACCAAAATATTAAATGGTGAACTTGTCAAGTCTTTTTATTTTTGAAGTTATACTTCTCTTGGCACGTTTGGAAAAAAAATAAGAGAGTGAAATTTTTACGATGCGCGCGCACACCGACAGCCAAAAGGCGACATGATGAAGTTAGCGGCATTCCTTTTATAATCAGGTTGTACATACATACGGGATGAAATCTTTAGCTATTTTTGTTCTGATACGCCAAAGAAGTATAACTTCTTACGTGCGCACATAAATACACACACACGTTTTTTTTTATATTAAGGACAACCGTTTTAAAAGAAAGTAATCGTTGTACATGAATTAATTATTATTATTTAATATACTTATTAAAAAAAGTCAACCACTACTGTTGGGATTTTTCATTAAGCACATCTAACAATGTAACGTGTGGCGTACATTTTTATTTTCTTATTTTGACTAACAGGGATTAAGGTATTTACCTTGTTTTAAAATCTTGTATATTCATTTACATAAGCTTGTCCTTTACACCTTTGAATCGTTATTTGTGTTTGTTATTATAATGATCATTTCTGTCTTTTGTCCCTCGACATGAGTCATCTAACATAAGATGACTAACTTAATTGATTTGTGGCATGTTACGGTTGTTAACTATTAACATGGGTGATTTCATTGCAACCAATACCATGATACTTTGGGTACTGTAATTCTAAATACTGAGAAAGCTTTATAGTCGTTTGAGTCATGTAATGTTAAGTATTCTAAAAATGGAATTTTATATTTTATATACTTTGACAAATTTAATGTTTGTCTGTTTGTAATGTTTTAATCTTATAAAAACTTAATCGATTTAAGCTAACATGTTCAATATACAACTTAGCCAGTTTTCTGTAACCTAAATTCCATATTGTATGCTAAGGTTACGATTATCTTATTCAATATAACATATCGAGTCCAACGCGGGTCTGGGAAAGGCTAGTATGATAATATAACCATTGATAATAAAGGTGACTCCACAGCGGACGAAGAGTGGCGTCGTGTTGCGGCGGAAACCCAGCGATTGTTGGCACCAACAGCCGGCGGTGTGGGAAGTGTTTTACGTACATCTGCGCCTTTGGGGGCACCATTGATTCTATCTCCTCGTATACCTGGGAGTGGCGCCCAAGCTGGGCTCATTAACGGTAACGGGGCAGCCGCAGGCTTGCTATCTCCCGGAGAGCCCGCCCACCAACTGATATACGCCTCGCCGTACGCAGATTACGCAAACTACGCAGCATTGACCGCGAACCCGCTCTTGACTGCGGAGTACGCGGCGGCCGACCATACGGGTGGGTTATTCGCCCGTTAATTTTTGTATTTGATAACATCTTTATTGCCGTTATAATAGCTAAGGAAAAGTATTTTAAAGGATAATAATAATAATAGTCTGAATTATTGGATAATTTGAAAATATAAGTTTGTTATTTTTTGTAAGGCTTTTTAATGACTGTATTTGAAAACAATTCTATTATTATTATTATTTTGCTATAATTGAAATAAATTTTATATATTTATTCTCGGCTATTATTCCGAATATAGTCAATTATCAAATAAGTTAAAATAAAAGAGATAAATACATACATAATATATTTAAAAATAGGTGTTATCAAATATTCATATAAACTAACGCTAAAGGTATCGGGTTTATGCCTCCAAAACGTCCAATAGACTCAAATGTAGTCAATATCGTTTTAGGTAGGTTAATTTTAGAGCAAATTCTATATGAGATTTAAACGTTTTTTATTATAATAAGTTAATTAACCGCACGTATTTAGTTTATTTTGATTTGAATCATCAATTATTTCAAGCATGCTTAAATGTTTTTTATACAGAGCTTGGCTTTTCTTGCCTTTAACATCTACTTACTTTGTTACCCCATTAAATATACGCCAGAATACTCTAAAAGTTAGATTTTAGTCCAAATAGAAATGATACGTAGAATAAGGTACATGACTATTTATGATTTATTGTTTTAGTTGGACAAAGTTTTTATTCAAGTATTATTTTTTTCGTAACGTAACTTAGCATTTTAAATTATCACTTACAAATAAAGATGATATTATTTATTTACAATAGAGATCAATCACTTCATAATATATGGGTTCTCAGAACAAACTTTTTTGTTTTAATTATATTAATAACTATAAAGAAAACTTACGTAATTCATGAACAATTAAGTATATCAATTTACTACAAAAACTAGTTAATTAAAGCGGCCATGTACCTTATTAATACGAAATACATGACTAAACTAACAGACTAATCACAATGAATAACAAACATAAACTGTGTATTAAATGTTTTAATGGGGTTGCAGCGTCGAGATATCTACTCGCTGGCTTTTGACATTGGCCACAATTGCCGACCGCAATAAGATACGACAGTTCAACTTCATCGTTTCGGCCATCGCATCATTATTAGAAGCTGTCAAATAACTTATTACAGACTAAAAACAATACAGATAAATAAGATACCATAGATAGTAGCAAAAAGGTGTATTTTAAAATCGAAAGAAATATTCTCATAGATTATAAAGAATAAAGAAATAAAATACGTGTAAGCTTGGAGATTAAATTTAAGATACACCTTTATGCCTAAGAGACGTTAAGTCTGTTTAAAGGTTATTTTGACATAGGCCCTTACCGTCCTTGACAGATTGTCTTAAAATGTCACTTCTAAAGTCATAGGAGCCATTAACATTGTAGATTAAGTATATAATAAGGACGATTTAGCTTAGTTATTCGAACGTATTGTACCTACGTTATGTTTTTAATTTTAAAATAACTTTGTTTTCTTTAACGTTTTGTACAGTCATACAAAGTATATTTTATTTCTGAACAAACAAAGAATATTATTTTTATTTATTATATAGCAGTATAAACTATTTACACAGAGTAATATAAATGAAATATTTATTGAAAATATACATTTTCGTAATATTTGTTGGCAGTATATTCAAATAGGAGATATTATTCTAATTTTATATAATTGAAACTGCCAATAGAACTCTTTTAAGTTACCGATTTTTCATATACAAAGACATAGAATTTTATATATTATTATTATACACACATTATATCACACACTTTAATCTCACTAGTTGCACAGAACAAGATCATTCACTATAGTTTTTGTGATAACCCTCGCTTGTAATAAAGACTAATGTATTAACAAGTTTTAATGTACACTTTGATGTTTTTAACATAAATGTTGGACACACTCATGCATGTCACGTGACTTCGAACCTTATTAGATATCCCGAATGTGATTAACATAAATTTTCTTTTTATTAACCGTAAAAATCTCTGAATAACGAAATAATAAATAAATAATTCAGTGATTACAAGCAAAAGGGACCAAATACAAATTGAATTTTTCTTACAAACAACACGATCATAATATTTTAACGATTAACCAAACTGACTACTAAATATTCTATGAACATTCAATTCAATTGTAGAAATTATATCGAACAACATTCTAGATAAAATTTTCCAACTTATAATAATAAAGTAACATTTGAGAAATGGCAAAATGAAGTGTTATATTATTATCATAATAATTTATTAATTTATTAGCCATATTATTATATTTATAAACATACCATAGTATTAAGTATTATTTTTATCTTTTAAAGATTTTTAGATAGTTTAGAAAAGAGTGAGCTTTATGAAAAATATATAAAACAGCCGTATTTATGTATAGGCTATTCATTTATTCGCAGTTTATGTTGTCAAGTCAGATTATTTTAAAATATGTGTAAGCCAGCTTTCACCTGTACCTTGATCGGGTTAGATCACCTGAGATTTAAACTTTTGTTTTATTTTTCCAAAGCAATAAAATATGTTATAGATAAATGTTAGGCGTAGATAAGCTTAATAATTATAGAAGTTAGTGAAACTGCCAAAAGCTTCTATGTAAACATGTGACTCATAGACAGTAAAATTATTATTGCTGTTCGAAAAATAATAATTGTACGCATACATTATTAATGAGATTAAATTTTTTTCAGCATACAGTTGTGTACCAACCTGCTTTATAGAAATGTTAAATTTTATATTTTTACAGTAAATTATTTTTTTGTATGTCATTCCAAAATGTGAAAAAATGACGGTTTATTCTCTTTTGGAATCATCGAAGTCTGGGTTCGGCAATGAATGTGAATGGAGGCTGACTTTTCAAATTTGTAACCAAAACTTATTTCTCTTTCGCATTACCATTGTATAATACAATGTTAATTTTTTAAAATATTATTTACTTTCATTTAAAAATATGAAGAATCAGCCAAATCATAATGCTGGGTCCAGACACGGATAATATATGTGGTATGCCGCTAGGTATGGTGCGGAGGGCGAGTCGGCTGACGCAAGTGAGGGAGCACCCTTACCAGCGCACTGCCTTACCAGCGCCTTAATTCCCGTCAAATCGCTCTCACGCCGCCATTTTATTCAAGGTGAGATGCGCGTGCACGCCCTTTGATGAATATGCTTGCTATGAATTATAGATGTTATTATAAAAATATTACAAGTAACGTTATAATACGAGTACTTTAATTAAAATGACAGTATTCCAATTAAAGTCTTATATCGAATAAAGTCACAGCTGTGATAAACTTTTTAAAAGCTTCGTATTTAAACTCAGTAAAGCTCGACGTTCTTGAAACGATCAATTGTCGTTTATATTGAATCTCATCAAATAAAACAAGCGATAGTTGGTAGTTTTACAACTTTTCCAATGTGGCAATCATATTCGTCAGTTAGAATGCGTGAATGAGTGCTTTATTGTCTCTCTGTGTCCTTTTCTATGTACTTATTAGTTATGTTCTCGAACGTTATGAGGAAATGTGCCCATCTACTTCGTACCGGATCTGAAGTGACACTGCATAATTTGTAACTGTGATTTTTACTCTTTTTTTTTATAGATTTTTAAACCTGTTACGTGTTGTGATGCGAGGCGTTATAACAGTTTTTTTTATATTTTATAATGTTTTCAAGTTGGACAGCGTTACCAAATTGTTCATTTCTATAAATGCTTCAGTTATTTATCACAACATGTGTTAAGAGTCACGTATGCATTATCAATACGAACAATTTTTCGGGTATTGTTTAGAATGTGAAAGGGAAGAAGGATTGGAACTCTAATTATTTTAAACTTATGTAGATTATCCCTCAATTTGTAATGTAGTTGTGATCCAAGTCCTTTTTGTCATGTCATCATTTCTACCGGTGCTAGATTCGGGTTGTGAAATCCTTCTTTCCTAAATCTCGCCCAGTATTAGTCAAAGGGAAGTGCATTTTCAGAATTGTGCCATCGCTCCAGTATTAATTAAAATGCGCCATCCTTTGACTTAACATTTTATTCATCACAAGTTCTTTTAGTCAATATAAGATTTTTATATGAAATATTTAAGCTAGTTGTTTCTATTTTGCCTTAGGTATTATTTTAATCACTTTCTTATTTGAAAGTTTTATATCGATAAGATTTTTGCACTTGTGTCCTTGTGGATTTTAAAGGCATGCAGATGCCGATTACGTATTTTCACGCTTTATATGAATTTCGAATCTGAACGCTATCCATAATTTTATAATGAAATAAAAGATTGTGTAAGAGATGATTTTTGTGTAAAATATTGTTTCGATTGTTGAATGTAAATATTAAATGCATTTTCAGAAGATATACATTACAATAAATTGTCTGAAATTTTCTATAGGCGTTTTTTATTTATTAGCTGGAATAGGTTCGCGGGTTAAATAAACAAAATACAATACTTTAAAATTGGTTAACAATGAGTTAATAAAGTTGATGATGTGCAGTCATACTGGACAAGTGTAGCCTCACACGACTAACAGCAACTCCACAAGGCCAAGTTCCCGAATATTGACATAATAATATACGAAGTGCACTGTCATAACTGCTACTGTCACTGCAGATTTATTCGTAACTATGTATTTATATTATATGAGTCACTAACATGCAAATATGTAATGACATTATCGATACGTATCACAGACTATTAACAACTTATAAATGAATGCTATCATATAAAAATATTGGATTATTGCAATGTGTTGAGTAACTTACATACTTGCATCGGGGTGCTATGGTTATACATAAGAGATAAATTTATTACCTATATGCTTGTTTGTTTGAGCAGTGTTTGAGACGCCGCGATCCTCCCGCTTACAGTGTCTCAGGCACTGCTCTCTGGGAACTATTGGGCATTTAATCCTATAGTAGAATATCATTATCATACTAAATTATTTTAACATTTTCATTAACTAAGTAAACTAATTTAAGTATACGTTGTATAATTTATTAACAGGAGCATAGCAAAAATCTAATGTCGCGGCACGAATGCCTGATAGCCTCCCCGATATTATTTTATTCAATTCTATATTTAAATCCGTACACCATAGATCGATCCGAGATCCAGTTTGATCGCTTTTATTAGCTGCATGTCGTGCCGGTCCCCATACATGGTCTCATATGACTCGATTTCTGAATTGTCCCTTCGAACTTTTGATCCGTGATTTAATTAATTTCGTACTCGTCAAACAAAGTCTTTGCAAATAATTATACAATTTTAATACTATATAATATTTATTATAATACTTTTTATATATATTATTGGGACTTTATTCGACGAAAGTACGAGCTAACACTTCATAACGCGGCGCGGCGCGAGCAGCGTAAAGGCGTTGAAGCGTTTGATCTCGCGATTGAGGCTACGTGTAGTCGGACCATGACATTTTGATACTAACATTCTGTTTTTCTCTCTTCTTGATAACTCGGCTAGGTGAGTGCTAATGGCGTCGAAGCACTAATAGAAGAAGCGGTGCCCGCTGGACCCTATGTCGCCGTAACATATTCATCGGAACATCGACCACCATGTAGCTATATTGGGCCTTTCACGATAACATGTAATATGTATTTTAATAGTCTAACTATTAACATTATATGCCTGTTATGTTTATAACAATATGAACTCTATTAACATTTTTTGTGGCACACGCCATCGACTATATTTACTGTATTGTAACTTTGTACTGTTGTCGCTTGACCGTGTTGTTGTTGAAGCACGAGTGTTGCTAGGTTACCCTACCTACCGCGGCGCTAAATTTATTTAAATAATATTTAGTCTTTAATTATTATTTATTAGAGTTAGTTTATATTCTCGAAATACAAATTTTAATTTAGTAAGGCAAATTTGGCGCCGTAAAGTCATATTATATTGCTAGCTAAAGTGTCCACATTTTCAAAATGAAATCAAAAGGATAAGATTCTATTTAGTAGGAGACGAAATTGAAGTCCTTATAATGAAATATTTTTTAAAGTAGCTATTT